ACACTGTTTCATAAGAAAAAAATTGAGGGTTTCAGTGAAAAATAATAAAATTGACTAGAACGAAAGTTTGCAGTGCCTAAGTATTACCAACAACAGGGAAGAAATTTATGAGACAAATATGTGAAGAGGGTTTGAGACATACGTCACAAGTTGACAAGACTTCATCTCTCTTCTAACAGATGGTAAAGGGGAACTAAACGAAATGGAAGCGCTCGTGCATGCAATATGAGAAGGTACTATATCCTTCTGAGAAGCGCTCCAGGAAGACCCGTAAGTGACAAGTGACGTCTTTTCGACAGCTGAAAGGATTCGGTGTATCTTCGATTCTTTCTCCTTATCTTGGGTGAGAGAAGAAAAAAATGCCACTCACACACACTCACGACTTCGGTGAAACGTTGAACATCTACGCCATTTTGTCCAATGATGTAGAAAAAAACAAACCAATCCACTCCTAATTTCGCTATTGTTTAGGAACAATTTTATACGAGCATTGAAAATTTTCCTCAACCACTCCGATAAATAATCAAAGCTGCATACTCCCCGTCCCCTTCACTGTCAGCTCTACAGTTTTTTTTTTTTTTTTTAATGTTTCTGATGATGTTTTAACAGAGACCGTTGTATACCATTCAAAACGACATGAAAGATAATCCAAGCGATACAAAGTTTTCTAAATCAACACAATTTGGCTTTTTTTTTTTCTCTTCCGCATTCTGTAAAACGATTACTTTTTCTTTCCGTCTTTTTGGTGAAAGAAAAAAAAGTTGTTTTTCCTGTACCATTTAGTAGGGACAAAATAAACATTTTTACTTCCAAAACGATTTAGATGTACTTTTTTTTAATGTCATAAGTGTCTTTCATAGGACCATGTGTCTTTTATTCTTCTTTATGAAACTTATTTTAAGGTTTCTCACCTCAGTAACTATAGCTTTCAAATTCTATTTCACGTTAAAAATATTTAAAGATGTACACACATTTAAAAAAAAAATTCAGCGTCCACTGAGGTATAATTTGATCCTGTTTTATTTTATTTTCGTTGTGATAAAGGTACTTAATAAGGTACTAGAGATTGGCACCACCATTTTAAATTCTAGTTAGATTAAAAGATTCGTGTGACTGCTGGATTCTTCATTGACCATTTGCAACTGTATCACGACTACAAAAGCATTTTGAGGCTTCGATGTAAAAAAAAAAAAAAATCGGTTTTCATCCGATATTAGACAGCGCAGTAGAAGAATGGTCTAAGTCGCGAAATCCGAGACTCAGTGTGCTATAGCTCAGGTTTCATCGTCATGACCGAGGTTTAGAATTACGAAGCTCGTCGCCAATAGCTCTCGTTTATCCTCTGAATGAAACGTTAATAAACAAGTAATCAGTCAGGCAGTCCGATGTTTTGAGGTACAAAATCCAAACATAACATTTTTTTTTGATAGAAAATAAAATATATCCCAGTGTTATATAATATATTCTGACATGGAAAAGAAAATATGTATTCTTATATTACTCATTTCTGTTTAATCAATTCATTTCCCCCTGTATCAGCACATCTTGCTATGCACGCAATAGAGTGTCTTTATAAAAAGCAGTAAATGTTTGCATATGCAGCAAGGACGTCTTAAGACTTCTTGAGGCCCTGGGCCCTTACACAAATTTAGGCCTTACCTATGACTGTTAAATGCAGACAGTACATAGCATACGTTGTCAAATACTCGTTCAAACAATTATCCGAAATAAATAAATGTGCATGACTTACAATTGCCCAAACCGCTCGACCAACTGCCGCCTTTTGACTGATTGAGTAATGATGATATATGAAGCAGGCTAGGCCTGTACATGAAAGACGGTCATCACGAGTAGCCAGCTGACATTTTGTTCGAAACTCCCAGTTTTTCAGAGAATACAACCGGAAAAAACATTAGTCTGTTGAAATTATTCGAATCATTGTCTTATTAAGACTGAGTCGAGAACAAGACGAGGCCCTGGGCCCGGGCCCAGTTGGCCCATGCCTTAAGACGTCCCTGATATGCAGTGGACTCTCGATAATTTGAAGTTGAAGGGACCAATGAAAAACTTTGAGAATTATCAAGAGGATAGGTAAACACTCCCAAAATACACACACAAAATTTTTTTTTCTTAACACATTTAAATTTGAAACTGTGTAATAAAACAACAATTGTACATATGTATAAAATTATTTTAAAGTATTTTCAAAAAGTACAAATTATATACAGTATAAATATCAGGCGGAAGTGAAAAGTATACATTTAAGTATAAAAAACAACTATTAAAAGAATACGTACTGTACATAATTAATTTTTTTTGGACAAAAAATCTGTTATCTTTTTTGTCGCTTTCAATCTAACTTTATCAATAAAATTTTCCCCAGAAAAATGAAGCTTGAAAAAAGTTCACATCAACACGATTTTGAAGGGGAAAGTTGCGTAGGTTTTTTAGTGACACCTTAGCTTCTGTCAGAGATATCGGAACCAACTACGATAGTCATCAAAGGGGCTACATTATGGGGATACAAGCAGAGACAATACACAACACAAAACATGTTAGTTCCAACCTGTTTGCTACTGGACTTAATATAATAGTTTTTGAAATGTCGAGAGTTTCATTAGATCACTTCGAATTATCGCGTGCTGTATTCTGGCTGGCCACAGATTTTACTTCGAAATATTGAGTATACCAAAACTTATTATTTTAGTTGGAAATATCAAGAGTTTTTCTAGTCGATGAGCATATATTTCGAATTAGCTAACGGTTCATATTATCGATTTGAATTAGCGAGAGTCGACTGTATCAGGTTTTTTCCCCTGTGCGTTTTTCCCTCGTTGTAGGATGGATATGTTATTTTTTGCTAAACAACTTAGCAAGATTTCCCCCTCCCATCAGACGATTCTTTTAAATTGCTGAGGGAACACATTTTGTTCAGCAGGTTATTTTCTAAGTAATACAAAGGGTTTTTTTAGTATTGTGTTTAATAAAAACACAAAAACTCTGTGCTTAGGCTCAAAGACAGACTGCTTTAAAAATATATTCATAACACTTTAAAAAGAATGTAAAATATCTATTATAATAAAACGATTTAAGTTCAGGATACTTTATTTGTATAGTATTTTTGCTTCAAGCACATGAAGCATAAAAAAGTTTAAAAAGCAAATATTTAAAAATAATTTTTTTACATCATCGTGCATTCAGTTTCGGAGTCAAAAGAGTACTAACAAAGGGTAAGTTGGAGCGGGTGTCGTGACCTGCTTTTATTCACTGTATAAAGGTATCATTTGACCTCTTATCAAAATTTTATCGTAGTCATATAATACATTGAAAAAAATCTATGAAATTATACATATCTTACGACAATAACACCTTTGTGATTATAACTGTACTTTGTGAAACTTCGCACACAGAATGTTTAAAAAATAAATTCAGTTCCGAAAAATGCAGGCATAATTTTCTTTCTTATTTTTTATTTATTTTGAATTTCCAAATTATAAGGAAATGGCATTGTTTGTTTTGAATAGGAGAGAATCATAACATTGGAAAAATATAACTCACAAACACGCTAAAGTCTTTTGAATATTGTATTTTTTTCTGAGAAAACTCAAAATAATTTGAAACAAAAGGAAATGTAATCGAGAGCAGTATATGTGAAAAGAAAATCAATTAATTCTCTTTGATCTTATAAATATATATAAATAAAATTTATTATTTTTCCGAAGTTTTGTGGAATTTTTAATATTCTTACAAACTTGTTTGATGCATGCATATTACCATTACAGTACATTCATAACAATGACAATGATTAGTTCCAAAAACAGAATGGGTTTCTAAAGAAATAAAAATGTTGTGAGATGAAAACTGTATTATCTAAAACATTAAATGGTAAAATCGATGGATATTGTGAAAACTTGTTTTGGAATTTCTTTTAATTGCACTTTGGCATGCAACTAAACCATTTGTGTTTTATTTGACCCACGATAGGAACATTTTCCTCTGCTTTTACGAGAAACTCGTTTTCTGGCCTGTGACGACACCTGTGCTGTTTCGGACGCTTCTCAAAAGAAGAAACTATTTAGCTTTTTCTAACAAGTGTTTGTTTAGTTTTACGAAATTTATTTTGAAACGGATTATCGCCAAAGTCACTTTTTTAGTTGGCGTTATGCAGGCATCTTCCCTTTTATTTCTCTCTTTCCGCAAGAGATAGGGATTTTTGCGACTGAAAGAGAAGTTGTGTTTACCGTATCATCAGTCCTTGACCGCCTCCCATTGTTCCCAGGGCACGGGAGATAGTGGCATTGTGTTGGGCAAAGATAGCACCTTTTCAGAAACTTATCTCCTCGATTATTGTGTTGATAATGCTCAGCGACCTTTATTTACTTTACTTGTTTGGGCAATTGTGTGCAGAAGAGGCCTCTTGGCGGCTCGTGCATCCCGTAACTTTTTTTCAAAATAGCGGCAGTGGATGGGGCATTCCCGAGCTTTCTTGTATTCTTTGATTTTTAATGGGCTAATCCTTTGATTTTTAATGGGCTCAATTCGTGACGGTCACATGATAAAGAAAAACACGTATTCTCTATTGAATTAAAAACAGACATGAAACATTGTTCTTGTTCTATTTCTAAAATTTAGGTAAAATTTCAAATTTTATAATTGGGTAAAGATGTTTAAATGTTATGAAAAAAGAAAAATCTTCAAAAAGATTCTTTAAAATTAAACAAAAAAAAATCGTATTTCATGCATATACTATTAAATAAAATGCATTTTGTATCCATATGTACTTTTCAATTCCTACTATTAGTTTACAATCTCCCTCCCTATATATATATTGTTCAAATGTTCAATCGCTAATAAAATACTTTCTCTTCTTGTAGGAAATGGCACTTGATGTTAATACAGTTTTTTTTTTCAAATACTAATTCATTATTGAAAATGAATAAATAGTAACAAATAAAAATAATAGTCCAACAGCATATATAAAATGGAAAATTGCTCGTTCTATCTCTGTAGCGCATCGGATAGCGCGTTAGACATCTAATCTAAAGGTCGTAGGTTCGAATCCTACCTGGAATGGCCTAATTTAAGAGGTTGTGATTTATGAGTGAACAAATAGTAACAAACAAAAATAATAGTCCAACACCTTAAATAGCTTTCTATTTTGCCTCTTAATATTGTGATTTTGTCTTATGTATTTACGTATTAAAATTAATCGTAATTATTTAAGAAAAAGTAACTAAAACAAAAATTTTCTTTGTTGACCTAAGTAGGAATTGACAATTTTTTTTTAATATTACTTATTCAGAGAAAGTTTCTGCAAAGAGAAAAAGTTGGCAACACCGAAAGGTCCGTGAACTAACTAGCTGGAAGCACAAGTTACCTTTTATCGTGTGACTATGACGTCACATGGGTTTTTGAACTGATTGGCTAAAAAACGTGGTTTTTATTATCATGTGACTATGACGTCACATGAATGAGCCCATTGAAAACTGAAATCGTTAAGGATAATTTTAGATTGCTTGATGTTTAATATTGAAACCGATTATGTGAAGCTGTAGTTGATTGATTGAAGTGATAGTGCTCTAGCAGTTCTGAAATCCATTTTCAACGGATCATTAGTGAGTGAACTTCTTTATTTGAAATCAAGATCCTTTGTGTCAGGATGTTGCATGAGCCAGTGTGTCTCATTTTATGCAGCATACCACATAATTAAGAAGAAATTCATAAAAATGCAGCCATTGCATTATTTCTCTATATATTCATGCTCTTAATTGAGTTCCGAACCTTCGACCCATTGGCCACAAAGTTGTCATTAAGTTATCACTGTGCGTTTGGAGAGATAGTGCCATGGTTTACTGATAGTGACAGCAAAGATTACTTCATTTAATATCTCCTTGTCATTTTTATAAATTAACTTGTATGATATCGACGTGAAACTGTCATTTTTAAAGTCTTAACGTTATACAGAATTAATTGATGTTTAGTAAAAATTGAAAATTAAATTTTAATACATTTTAATGACCATTATTCAAACATTAGTTTCTGAAAATATGATAATTTTATCAGTTTTTAATTATTACGTTAGCGGTCCATTTTTGACAATATTTTGTTCACGATTGAATTGAAATGTTCGCGGTAGCCAAATGTTCATGGTCGTGAACTCAAGTCGGAGCTTCGAGTCCTGTGTGTACGTTTACGATTATTTATACTTAAATTTTACGTCAACAGTTACCATTCTGAACATCAAAGTGAAATTTATAACTTTTCAGTTAAGCTTTTAAATGGAGTTATTTCATTTGGGTTCATGGCTGAATTTTCGGTTTAAAAAGGTGTCCATAAATACAGTAAGTTTGGGAGCTACTGTCCTATACTGTGATGCTGAATATGTTGGTTTGTAGTCATATTTGTACTCTTGAATAATATACCATTAAACGTGTATCTGCATTTTCTATTGCATGCCCAAATACAGAGCCGTGAAATTGAAATCATTCGCAATATCCCGCTCCCTATATATAAAACTATGATAATTGTGAAATATTTATAAACTTTACTTTTTTTTTTATAACAAAAAATGTTTATTCAAAGCTTAACTATCCGATGAGGAGAAAAAAAGGACAAGGAAGTAAACTACTTTCATTCTAAAAACGAGTAAATACTGTTTATATAGTGCCTACTTGAAGTTATTCAATTTTTACGTCATTTGATGTGTATTTGTGTAGTATGATGCATGCTTTCAAAGCGTGGTATTCCAGACAGAAATAGTGCTCAATTGACTGTAGTTTATCGATACGACGCCATTTGAAGAACCACTCCTCTATTCGAAATTCAGCGGCCACTTTTCGTATTGAGCCATGTTCTCGGAAACTTCTCGAGTGCCGAGCACCGACCCCACATAAATCACATTGAATAATGTATTTCTAATCCAACTTCCTGGAAATCATTTTCTGTCATCAATTCTCCAACCGGTGAGAATCATTACCACCGAATCGAGTTTCCAATTTTAACTCTGCTCTCAGGTCACGTTTCCAGGGTAATTCGAAAAGGCGAGCAATAAAAAGAAATCAGATTCTCTGTGGGAGGAAAGATAACAAGTGTAAATGTGTGGGTACTTTACTACATTAAGATCACACTCTGAAGTACAGACACAGAGAAAACCACCAACAGTATCGCGTGTAGGAGCGGTTTGTTGCTAAATACAGTCTGTTATCAGATGAACCACATTCTGGTGTTGAGGTCACTCGGCGAGCCATTCTCGTGCACATAGAAACCGATAATCGCTCGAGTTTTTATAATGTATCAACTTCTCTTGACAGAGGAATATTTTACTCTTCCCCTGATAAACTCTCTGAATAGTGGCCTTGTTCGTGAACGCACACACATAGACTGTTTATTTACTTCTAGGTGGCGCCTAGATTTAAGGGTAATGCTCGCCTTATCGCCTTCGTTTGTGTATACTTTGTGAATGAAAGATCGCGCGAGAACATTAAAATCGAGTTATTTCATTGACTTTCCGTGGAATAATGTATTATGAATGATATTCATCGGTATAACATTAAAATGATTTGTGTTACAAGTATTCAATGAGCGTAAAACTTTTAAGCTTGTGTAAATGAGAGAGTTCATTAGCATCGCACTATAAAGCAACACGAGGACTATTGACCTTGAACCTCGTAATTAAGTACATTGTAAGGCAACTGAGCCTAGGGCCTGGGTGTTGGGAGGTATCTCGTCTTGTTCTCGACTCGGCTTTTGTAAGATTGCGATATGAATAATTATAATTGTCAAACGTTGTTCCCAGACTTATTCGAAAAACTTTGAATTTTAGAGCTATAATTGGTAGCTTTATTATATGTCCATCCTCTATGCTTAGGTCTAGTCCCTACCATCATGTTACCATCATAATTATTCAGTCGAAAGGTGGCTATTGGTCGAGTAAGTTTGTGTCTAGATTTTGGAGATTATGAGTAATATACATTTGTTATATGTTACCAGTTGTACGAATATTTGACAACGTACGCTATGTACTATCTGTTTAAAGGGGTCACAGGTATAGGGTACTTTTTGCATAGGGTTCCAGGACCACAAGAAGTCTTTAACGGTTCGCAATTTTATCGCTGCTTGTCATTTTAAACCATGGTCGTTTTTCGAGGATGTCATCTAATCTGGCACTCTCCTCTCGGAATTCCCACATCATGCCAAAGTTTAAGCCACTACAGATTTTACGTGCATCAGCCCCTTCTTGGCGGGCCTTCGGTAGCACTAGGAATGGAACTTTGGCTATGAATTTGTTACCACGACCACACTAGGTTTATCGCGGCCACCTTTGAGACTTGGAGAATTTAGCAATGTAGCATTGATTATGTTTTGAAAGACAATTTTTCAGAGGCAAGAATAACAGCACGTTAAGATCAACTTTTTGTACTACATTCGAGTGCATCATTTATTTATTTTTTAACTATCCCTTTTTAAAATCTTGTTTTATTTGACGAGGAACATCTCCACTTCTAATATTTCGATATCAAATAGATAATGCTAAGCTCAACATCACCAACAGAAATGGCATTTTTATTTTTAATTAAGTGTAGAATTATTTATGTAATGAAGTTTTTTGATTGAGCATCATATGATACATATACATTCAGTATTCTCGTTCGAAAAGAAAAAAAAAAACAGGTCGTTTCCATTGGACAGTTTTATCCTATTCTGCTTGAGCTAAACAGATCTTTCCCTCCGGCGCAACACCTCCATCAATTCTTTCCCATGTATGTTTTTGGCCCATTAGAATTCCAAACATCAGCGACTAGAAACAATGAGGAAATGCTGCATTAAAACGGGGGCGTTCCGCCGTTAAGTGCGTAATCACGTGATTCTAGAGAAAAAATTTACGCAGGACGATAAAGAGGATCATCAAAAAGCATCTCACGTTTCTTGGAATAATAGCGACCGAGAAAAGAAATGGCTGATTTTTGTGCAATTGGAGTTGTCGGCTACGTCGCTGTATTTCCCACTGCCTTTCGAAATTTTAATATTCTCTCGAGCTTCTTGTTCCATTCTAGTAAAGAAAGTTATGACGTTTGTGTTCCTTCGGATATCGTTTTGAACGAGACCTTGTTGTGTGCTTAATTTGTTTGTTGTCTCCTGAACGTCGAGGCATCTTTCGTATTAAGAAAGAAGACTGGGCATTTTCATTGGATTGGTCACGCTCTGTAAAAAACTCTATTCGTGAGAATGAGGTAAAAATTACTGAAAATAGATTAAATATTAATTCGGTATTTATGAGAATTTTTTTTTTTTTTTCATTTTCTCCACTGGATGTCTTGACAGCAATATTTACAGGTATTGAATTGTAGATTAGATTGTGTGAAATGCTTAATTTTTTTTTTTGGAAATTTTAAATTTACGAAAAATAGTTTGTATATATAGATTTCTAAGGGGAAAAATATCCCAGTTCACATTTTTTTAAAACATTAAAAAAGAATAAAAAATTAATTTGTGATGCTTTTAGTGAAAATAGCGAGTACATTTTATTTTGAAATTATGAGAAAAAGTATTTCCTTGCATCATCTAACCTGTATCAACAAAAACTGGGTGTTCTGCAGAGAACACAAATTGTATCACGATTGTTTTTACTCATAATTGATTGTTGCATTGCAGTGACATGTACTGCACTTACGGTGTGGACGAAGGACGCGGTAGCCTAGAGGCTATAGTCACGAACTAGTGGTTAACGTGCCGTAAGTTCGAGCCCTAGTTCCACTAAAGCCTCACCCCCCCCCCTCGTTTAGAGGGTTTGATGCATTTTAAATCTCTCTAGGCTCTGTGTAGTTTAGAAAGTGGGGTACCAGCTCAGGTGTTGTCCTCGTCACTTGACCGAAATTAAAAATTATGCGTTCTATCGCCCAGTAGCCCTCGTGTTGTTTAATACTGATACGTTAATTAACACCCACTCGCACTACGTTGTGCGTGATATTTTCCAAAAACACTTCGGACTCTGAGTGAAGAGGCGCTAATACACGTTAAATCTATCGATGCTGAAGAGTCTTCATGCTAGCGTAGTGGGGAGGTGTGTGAGTGAA